TCATCCATCCATCCATCATCCATCATCATTTTTTCCATTTCCATCTCAGATCATCAATTACATCACCACACATCCATCCATCCATCCACTCATCAATGCCCTTCATCCATATCTTCAATACATAGCATATACACACAATCCATACCACACATCACACACCACCATCATCACATCCTCCATCATCCATTATCTCACCACTCTTCTATCCATTCTCAATCCATCCATCCATCATCATCATCCATCACATCCATCTCATCATCATCCATCATCCATCCATCATCCATCCATCATCCATCCCATCCATCCATCCATCATCCATCCATCCACCATCATCCATCCATCCATCATCCTCATCCATCATCATCCATCATCCATCATCATCCATCCACCATCCATCCATCCATCATCCATCCATCATCCATCCATCCATCATCCATCCATCCATTTTTTCATCCTTTATCTTTCTCCGTTTATTCATACAGGACATACAATTACACATTCAACCAAACATCCATTCCATACATACATCCTTGTAGCCATCACATTTCAGCCTATCTCCCTTTAGGCTTTAAGTTGCCATCAGACGATCCATCCACCACACATCCATCCACAATCATAAAAACACACACACATACCAAATAAAACCAAGAAATCATAAACATCAATCCAATCACATATCACCAGTTTAGTCATCACACTCTGTTTCATCTAGATCCATCCATATCTCATCCAATCCATCCATCCATCCATCCATCATCCATCCATCATCCATCCATCCATCATCCATCCATCCATCATCCATCCATCATCCATCCATCCATCATACATCCATCATCCATCCACCATCCATCCATCCATCATCCATCCATCCATCCATCCATCATCCATCCATCATCATCCATCCATCATCCATCCATCATCCATCCATCATCCATCCATCCATCATCCATCCATCATCCATCCATCCATCATCCATCCATCATTTTTTTTTTTTTTTTTTTTTTTGTTTATTTGACAGGGACAGTACAATTAAACATTGCAACCAAACAGGTGGCCGATGTCCAAGTACATAAGGCTTGTAGCCATGGGCTAATTTGCAGCCTTCGTCCCTGGTTAGGCTTTTAAAAGGTGTTAGCATTAAGGGAGAGGGAGGTTAATAACGACACACAAATGCATAAAAACACACACACAAAAAAAAAACCAAGAGAAGTTAAAACAAAAATGTACAGTACAAGCCAGTTTAGTGCTCACACTCTTGTTTGTCTTTGAGCCATTTTTTCAATCATCCATCCATCATCCATCATCCATCCACCATCCATCCATCATCCATCCATCCATCATCCATCCATCCATCCATCCATCCATCCATCCACCATCCATCCATCCATCATCCATCCATCCATCCATCATCCATCCATCCATCATCCATCCATCATACATCCATCATCCATCCATCATCCATCCACCATCCATCCATCCATCATCCATCCATCATCCATCCATCCATCATCCATCCATCATTTTTTTGTTGTTTTGTTTTGTTTATTTGACAGGGACAGTACAATTAAACATTGCAACCAAACAGGTGGCCGATGTCCAAGTACATAAGGCTTGTAGCCATGGGCTAATTTGCAGCCTTCGTCCCTGGTTAGGCTTTTAAAAGGTGTTAGCATTAAGGGAGAGGGAGGTTAATAACGACACACAAATGCATAAAAACACACACACAAAAAAAAAACCAAGAGAAGTTAAAACAAAAATGTACAGTACAAGCCAGTTTAGTGCTCACACTCTTGTTTGTCTTTGAGCCATTTTTTCAATCATCCATCCATCATCCATCATCCATCCACCATCCATCCATCATCCATCCATCCATCCATCCATCCATCCACCATCCATCCACCTTCATTTTTTCCCCCACCCATCATCCACCCAATCCATCATCCCCCATCTTACATCCATCATCCACCCCATCATCCATCCCCCAACCCCAACCCCACCCCATCATCCTTTCCATCCATACCCCAACCAACCATCACCCCATCCATATTTTTTTTTTTTTTTTTTTTGTTTTTTTTTTACGGGGACAGTACAAAAAAATTTGGGAAAACCCAAAAACAGGTGGCCGATTTTCCAAGCCCTTGGTTTTACCCAGGGGTTTTAATTTTGCACCTTCTCCCGGTTTGGGGCTTTTAAAAGGTTTATTTTTAAAGGGGGAGAGGGGGGGTTAATAACGACACACAAATGCTAAAAACACAAAAAAAAAAAAAAAAAAAAACCAAGGGGAAGTTAAAAAAAAATGAAACATACAACCATTTAGTGCTCACACCCCGGGTTTGTTTTTTGAGCCTTTTTTTAAATCATCCATAAATCATCCATCACCCTTTCCACCACCCATCCATCCCTTTTCCACCCAAACATCCATCCACCCTAATTTTTTTTAAATTTATTTTTTTTTTGGGTTTTATTTACAGGGACAAAATTTTTAAAAAATTGAAACCCAAACAGGGGGCCGGGATGTCCAAGAAACAAAAGGTTTTGTAGCCATGGCAAAATTTGCAGCCTTCGTCCCTGGTTAGGCTTTTAAAAGGTGTTAGCATTAAGGGAGAGGGAGGTTAATAACGACACACAAATGCATAAAAACACAAAAAAAAAAAAAAAAAACCAAGAGAAGTTAAAACAAAAATGTACAGTACAAGCCAGTTTAGTGCTCACACTCTTGTTTGTCTTTGAGCCATTTTTTCAATCATCCATCCATCATCCATCCATCCATCATCCATCCATCATCCATCCATCCATCATCCATCCATCATCCATCCACCATCCATCCATCCATCCATCCATCATCCATCCATCCATCATCCATCCATCATCCATCCATCATCCATCCATCCATCATCCATCCATCATCCATCCATCATCCATCCATCATCCATCCACCATCCATCCATCATCCATCCATCATCCATCCATCCATCATCCATCCATCCATCCATCCATCCATCCATCATCCATCCATCATCCATCCACCATCCATCCATCCATCATCCATCCATCATCCATCCATCCATCATCCATCCATCATCCATCCATCATCCATCCATCCATCCATCCATCATCCATCCATCCATCCATCCATCCATCATCCATCCACCATCCATCCATCCATCCATCATCCATCCATCCATCCATCATCCATCCATCCATCATCCATCCATCATACATCCATCATCCATCCATCCATCATCCATCCATCCATCATCCATCCATCATACATCCATCATCCATCCATCATCCATCCACCATCCATCCATCATCCATCCATCCATCCATCATCCATCCATCATCCATCCATCCATCATCCATCCATCATCCATCATCCATCCATCCATCCATCATCCATCCATCCATCCATCATCCATCCATCCATCATCCATCCACCATCCATCCATCATCCATCCATCATCCATCCATCCATCCATCATCCATCCATCATCCATCCATCATCCATCCATCCATCCATCCATCATCCATCCATCATCCATCCATCATCCATCCATCCATCATCCATCCATCCATCATCCATCCATCATCCATCATCCATCCATCCATCCATCATCCATCCATCATCCATCCACCATCCATCCATCCATCATCCATCCATCATCCATCCATCCATCATCCATCCATCATCCATCCATCATCCATCCATCCATCCATCCATCATCCATCCATCCATCCATCCATCATCCATCCACCATCCATCCATCCATCATCCATCCATCCATCATCCATCCATCCATCATCCATCCATCCATCATCCATCCATCATCCATCCATCATACATCCATCATCCATCCATCCATCATCCATCCATCCATCATCCATCCATCATACATCCATCATCCATCCATCATCCATCCACCATCCATCCATCATCCATCCATCCATCCATCATCCATCCATCATCAATCCATCATCCATCCATCATCCATCCATCCATCCATCATCCATCCATCATCCATCCACCATCCATCCATCATCCATCCATCCATCATCCATCCATCCATCCAACATCCATCCATCATCCATCCATCATCCATCCATCCATCCATCCAGTCAGGTCCCTCCCTGCCGTTCAGGTCTAGGGGAGTCCTGTTGTTTCCTAACTACAGTTTAAGATGGAGATCTTTCTGTGAATCGTGACTTCTCAAACAGCAGCCATGTTTCTTTATTCCACCCAGAGGTTTGGCCTCCAGACGCTCCTTTCTTAGAGGTCCACAAACTTATTCCTCTAACTTTATCGCTGATCTTTGCGCTTTGGCATGCAGTGTGAACTTCATTAGCTGATGTAGACGGATGGTTGCCTTCGCTAAATCTGTCCACTGAACCGAACGTTCCACCGCTGGACTCCATTTTAGCTGCAGGCCTGTCTGAAGCCTGACCATTGGAAACAATAAGCTTTCTTAACTTTATGGCAGAGGCTGTCAACAAAATACATACATTGATTAACTTTAAAAAATCCAAATGGGGCTACTTTCATATCTGTTGTTATATTATATCCCATATTTGCTGTCCGACTGGTTGATTTCTTCAGGCTCTAACATCATTGTCCTCTGAGCTTCTCTAACAGTCACTGTTATCAGTCAGCAATCTGTTCCTGTGACTGAATGAATTCAACTAGATCCGCTTTACTCTCTCATTTATAAGAAGGATTGATTCCTCAAATATTTCTATTTTAGTTTGTGATGGTCGGATGTTTCTGTTGTGGGAATTTAGTTTAAAAATCTGTTCTTCAGCATCATCATGCTTTATCCACTGCATCTACTTTAAGAGAGAAACTAATGATGGATGTCAGTATTTTTCCTTCTGTGACACTAGTGACTACAGAGCACTATTCTGTCGCACAATTTAACCCAATTAACTTGTAGAGATGTCAGTGAAGTTATCTACTGATCTGGGACTTTATTAAACTAACTTAGGATTATTTTTTTTCCTAACAGGAGGTGAACAGGGTTGGGAAAGACACCAAAGTGGGACGCCATGGCGTGCAGCGGAAAGACTGGCATGACTATGAGACAATCAGAAGAGACGCAGCGAGATCTGGTAAATCATCTATTAATCCCTCATCGTGTGCGTCTCCTGCACATCCTGTCTCTCTCTCTGTAAATAAACCTTTAATACTTAAAAATCACGTTTGTGTATAAGAAGAAATGCCTTTTTCAGACTCGGCAGTGAACTGATAAATTAAATTATAATTGTCCAAAAAGAGTAAAAAGCTTAAACAGCTGCAGCCTGAGGCGTTACTGAATGGATGAGCTGACATGGAAGCGTGTGTTCCAGGAAACGGTGAGCAGGGGAAGCCGTTCCCTCTGACCGATGCTGACCGGGTGGACCAGGCCTACAGGGAGAACGGGTTCAACATCTACGTCAGCGATAGGATCTCGCTGAATCGCTCCGTCCCTGACATACGCCATCCCAAGTAAGTTAAACACCAGATCAGATGCAAACTCAGAGACTTTCTCATGGATTCTAAGCAATCCGTACTTTGATGCATTCAGTCAGATTTTCTTATTCAGGATTAAATGTGTGAGAAATTTGACACACACATATATATATACATATATATATATATATATATATATACATATATACATATATATATATATATATATATACATATACATTAGGGATGGAACGGTTTCTGAAAACTGTCTCGGTTCGGTTGGCGTGTGTTTCGTTCGGTTCATGCGCTGCTCCTTTTTCTCATAGGCGAAGCGTTTACACTCCAGAGCAGAAGGTGGCGGTACTGAGACCAAAGCCAACCACCAGTAGTAAACAAGAAGAAGAAGCGAAGCAGCGTAGCCGGGTGTAGCAGAATAAAATCAGTTGTTGTGGAGAATTGTGTGGGTATGGCGAGTGGGAAAGAACAGGAGTTGGAAGACGCGCCAGCAGCACTTTATAGGTCTGCTGTATGGGACCACTTTGCATTTAGAGTGACCTACGATGACGGCGGAAAGAAAGTTGTGGATAAAAGTGCAACAGTGTGCAAGCATTGTGCAACACATTTTGTTTATGCTAACAGCAACACGACCAACATGTCATGCTAACACCGAAATCCGTCATACTCCGTCGGCGCTCCGCCCCGCTGCGCTCCAGACCGGCTGCTCAAAGCAAAGCCTACAGCCTCCACTGTGGCTCCGTCTGCTCCGCTCTGAGTTCCTTGGAGATCGTAGAGAGCATGCGCCAGATGATTACAGTCAAAGCAACAAAACATACGGAAATGATCCAGGGTTTCCGCGGATCATTTAAAATAATTACAATCCATTATTTTTGGAGGGATTTTTTCATTAATTTCATACATTTTTATGGGATTTCGGGGAAACAATCAACATATACCGAACCGAACCGAAAACCGTGACCACGAAACCATGAATCGAACCGAACCGTGGATTTTGTGAACCGTTCTACCCCTAATATATATATGGATGGATGGATGGATGGATTGATTATTTCTTACAGTAACTGAGGCTCAAACAGGACTTGAGCTCTAAGACCTTGAAGTTTAGCAGATAGTTTATAACGTTACAGTGCAGAACTAAAAGTCATCGCTGGCGTAAAAAGAGAAGCGACTCCTGAACAGCAGCCCTGTTGGTCGTATTTATCACCCAGGCGGTGTCTCTGTCTGACAGGCAGGTGTTTGGTCCTGCCTACAGATGCACCCGCTGCTCTTACATGTTTCCTCTATGAATAAACCTGCAGCTTTAGAAGATGAACAGCGTCATTATTAGGGCTGCCATTACTGACCTATGAACTGGAAGCTTCACCTGAACTTCATACAAACTAAATATATTTTTATTGTTTCTTTTAATCTCCAAGCTTTTTTTAATTAATATTTTCATTTTGAAATCTCTACAAATGCTTAAATATGACTAATATCATAAAATGCTCTATCACTTCTTAAAAAAGAGAGCAACAGAATTAGATTCAATTTCAAACTTAGCCAACTGGTGAGTTGTTTTGTCTTCAGAAGACGCGGAGGACACCTATGGGGTCCTTGAGGGCCCCTTGGTGCCCGGGGCCCCCGTTGGTGGCCGCTGCCTTTGGGAATATTTAAATGTTGGGCACAGCCAGCTTCTTTAGGCTTAGAGATAAGTGAGGAACTAGCAGACTGCTTAAATAAGGAGTCTTTGGTCAGATGTTAGTAATCAGATGCAGTGAGCATAGAGGAAACACAGAAACATTAACATGATATCAGTGTTTAAACCATTAGTGAAATAAAACACCCAATCCTCACATGACTTTAGGGGGAGCGGGGGTCTACAGGTTAGGGCATTGAGCTTAGCCCCCAGAACTCCCCACTCCCACATCCTGCACTCTGGGTCCCTGAGCAAGACCCTTAACCCCACACTGCCCCCCGGGCGCCACACCATGGCAGCCCACTGCTCCCCAAGGGGAGGGGTTAAATGCAGAGAGGGAATTACGTTGCTCTGTGACAGTGGAATGAGAATAAATGACAATTGTTCTTTTAGCAGTAAATGTCAGCATGGAGCACCATGTGGTCACTGTTTACTTCCTGCTTTTACACAACATTAAACACATGAACTGATAACTAATGGTCATAATCCTAAATAGTTTCGCTCTCCCCCCAAGTTTGCCAGACCTGTAACCTCTGATGATTTCCATAAAAATTTAAAAAATGTAAATTACTTTATTGGAAATCAGCCCTTGTGGAGCAGGGGGCTGCCAAGCGGGGGGAGCAGGGGGCCGCCATCATTATATATTGAATAAAATACTATCGATTTAAAGGGTTAACACAACAGTTCAAATGATCTAATTGATAAACCGGATTAATCACAGCCTGCTGAATATTTTCCTGCTAACCTGTCCTGGTTGCTGCCGTTTTAACAGCTATTATCTATCACTAGACTAAGGAACAGAATTAATACCTAACCACTCAGAAAACTGCAATGAAATTATCTTTTTAGCTCCCGAAACAAAACAATTACCTAAAAAAATACCTTAACCTCTTACACCCTAAGGGGGTATAAATAAATTTCTGCCTGACAAAAACACACAAAAGTAAATAACTTATAGCCTCACAGCTATTAGATTTAAGAAGAAACTTTTGGTACGTCTGTAAAGGTAAGATGTCATAGAATGGTTTTCTGGTGTCAGCACCATTGTAGCTTTGACCCTGCCTGAAATATTAGGGACAAAATACAAAATATTTAGCATTTTTTGAACCTCGCCAAAATTTTCTTTGAAATAAACATTGCAAAACACTACCAAAATATTATTTATAGCACAAAAAAGTAGTACAGACTTTCAAATCTAAATGTTGTGTAAAAATATACCAAATTTGGACTCAATCAGATGAATCATATTTATTTTAGAATGGTATTAGTGAGAAATTTCTTAGGCGGAGGGGCCAGTTTGGCACATTTATCCATAAATGTCACCAAACTGTGCCAAATGTGTTTTTTACATCAATACTGGGGGTTTGGTAAAACTACGAGGTCACGTAGCAGCTGGACCCGCCGGTGGGTCCGTAGGGTTCAAGGGGTTAATGTAAAAATGACCCACATATTATATTTTAATTCTGCTACTATTTTATTTATTAAGCTCTTTAAAACAGCCGTGCTCTACAAGACAATCATTAATAAACATTCAAAATATGGAAGATCCGGTTTTATTAACAAATGCTTGTTAGAAGCATTTCCTGTAGATTTTAACTGGTCTTAATGGTGATTATAAACCTTCCCACTGCAGATTCCCACATCACAGATAGTTTCCACTGAGCGATAAAGAAGTTTGATGTTTTAGTCGTCAGAGAATTGCTGATCAAATAATCCAGATAAACCTGCTGATTGGTAAACATTTTAGTGGGTGATTCCATGTGTGAGCAGGGTGGTGCATTTATAAAAGAGGCTGCTGAGGTCCATTATAGATGGTTGATTGCAGTACGGGTGGAAAATTATATTTAAATTAACTGAATTATTAGAGAATTATAGAAAAAGAGCAGAAACGGCATAAAAGCAACTGTCTAAGCATTAGAAGAGCCGTCGAGCTGTTTTATCTCAGATCAGCCTTCAGTGTCTTCCTGCTTTGACCTCTACTGTCGCTTTCATGTGGAAAATAGTTTCAATCACTTTCAAGGTCTCCGCTCTGCGTTTTATCCCTCAGACTTCCCACATCCTGTGACCTTGTGGTTCCATCCAACATGCTTTCTGCAGCAGGGTGGCATCGCTGCAGCACACTCTGTCAAACAGATTATTTTATTGCAGCTGTCAAAGGAGTGAAGTGCAGCTTTGAAAACTTGATGGTGTGAACGAGGTTTCTGTGTTTTTATTGGTAGTAAAAGATTTTCTGTTGTTTCTTTACACTTTGTAGAAACTTCTTAAAAATTCGAAAGTTTCTTACCAAGTCTGGCTGAATACTTTTGCCCAGAATGAAAATCAGGATATTTTTGCTCTTTTATTTTAGTTTTCCTTCAGCTTCTCCTTATTTTCATTAAAGCTTGCTTCTCCAGAGTTCATTGTCGCAGAACTTTACAGTTTTATGTGACAGATTACTTACCTCCACTTGCCTGCATGGCTCTACATGCTGGCTGCAGCTCTCATGCGTTTTGTGGGGGGGTAGATAACCCACGGCAACCTAAATGCTAGGCTGAGAAAGATACTGTCTTTCTGATCTTAAATGTAATGTGACCAAAATGAAGTTAGTCTGTGATTGAAAGTTGTTTGTTTTAGAAAGCGGTTAGATTGTTATTGCAGTTTATTGCCCAGCGCTAGCAGAAACAGACTCATTTCAGTCTCCAGAGACCACCTCTGGCTAATTCCTAATAGTTCAGTCTGTAGACTGTTTCCTAGCTCCTTATCCAAATGCTTATTCCTTCATTTTTCATCAGAGCAACAATAAGAACAAGGAGCTCCAGACTGGCGTCTGAATCCTATTAGCTGTTAGGTTTCAACACATCATTACGGTGCAGAAACATTCATGGATGCTCAATTATGACTGCAGCCTTCCAGAAAGGAATAACTATGAAAGACTGATATAAAAACAGCTGAAGCTCTCGGTCTTATTACCCCAAACATATGAAGGTTTCTATATTTGCATACGTCACAGAAACTACATAAATACTGTCTTTCTTCATTGGTGGGATTTGCACTCAGAGAATTATGTTCTATGCAGCAGGAAGGAAACATTTGGCATTCTCTATTTTATATTAACTATCGATTTAACTTTATAAATGTAAACAAAACCAAAACTTGAGTGTCTTTATGATTAGAAAATTACATTTTTAAAATTGTGATTCTGCTGCACATGCAATGAATTGTCCTGCCTTATTGCTAAGACATGTAATATGTTCTGACTCTGCACTAAAGGGCAGGATTTGCTTTGTCTATGTTGGCAACATTTAAATGAAAATCTGAACAGAAATGGATTGGACCTTCAAACATTTAAACAGAATTACATTCCTGTCAGGCTGTGGGACTGAGGGTCTGGATGTTGGCATCAGTCAGACTGGTCAGAGTGACGGGAGAGCGACAGGTTTCAGACAGCCGGGGGCCACCTGGGTTCTCTGTGGGCCTGGGTCCGTCCTAAAGCTTTCCTTCACTTGTCTCGCTCGCAGTCACTGCAGGAATGATGCGATAGAGACACACAGCAAGAGCCTGAGAGGCTCTGAGGTAATTACAGTCTCTGCAGATTCCCCTTCTGATCTTACAGCAGAAACAGGGGAGAGAAAAGAGAAAGCAAGTGAAGGGCAAAGCAGCAGGTGGTACGCTTCATTACGTCTTATTAAAAGAGCAACACATTGTTCAGGTTGGACTGCTGCAGAGCTCAGCTATACCATTAGGTAAAGGCCAGTGTCACCGGTTCCACTAGGCCTCATTTTCTGTGTCAATTAGCATTTTAAATAGGGTAATGATAACCTTAAAAAATACTCTATAAAACAGGAATGACATGAAAATGTTTTGTTGAGCATCTTTATCATAAACTGAGCTGTCATGGTCTGTAGAATATCCTCGCTCTATGGGGGATATGGTTTCCTTTCCTAATGTTAAAACTCTGTGTTTCTATGAATGTTGTGTTTAATGGGGTCATAGATGAAAAACTGAGTTTCTATTGTCATAGATGAATAACGATAGTTCAGAGAGTGAAACAGACGTACAGAGAAGTTCAACTCCTCCTTTCTCTGCTAATCTCACTATTCTAAACTTCCACCATAAACCAGGGAATCCAAACGTTCTGGCCTGGACTTTGGTCATGCCCTGAAATGTACGTCCAGACTAGGGATGGAACGGTTTCTGAAAACCGTCCGAACCGTTCGGTTCGACTGTCTCGGTTCGGTTGGCGTGTGTTTCGTTCGGTTCATGCGCTGCTCCTTTTTCTCATAGGCGAAGCGTTTACACTCCAGAGCAGAAGGTGGCGGTACTGCGACCAAAGCCAACCACCAGTAGTAAACAAGAAGAAGAAGAAGCGAAGCAGCGTAGCCGGGTGTAGCAGTATCAGCTGTTGTGGAGAATTGTGTGGGTATGGCGAGTGGGAAAGAACAGGAGTTGGAAGACGCGCCAGCAGCACTTTATAGGTCTGCTGTATGGGACCAATTTGCATTTAGAGTGACCTACGATGACGGCGGGAAGAAAGCTGGGGATAAAAGAGCAACAGTGTGCAAGCATTGGACAACAAGTTTTGTTTATGCTAACAGCAACATGACCAACATGTCAGGCTAACAATCAACATATACCGAACCGAACCGAACGGTGGATTTAGTGAAGCGTTCCACCCCTAATCCAGACCAGCTTACTGGTTCACTGGACCAAGAACATGAATAGAGGAAGATGGAAGACAGCAGTTTAGCTGTTTAGCCAACAGTTGGGTTTATTTCTACTAGAATCACAAAGCAGGACGTTTCTCTATAGAAAATGAACCACAGGTGGAAATGCAGCGTTCCAGGCTGACCGGAGAAAGGGGAACATTTTCAGTCTTCCCAAGGATCCAAAGACTCAACAGGCATGGATTATTTCTGTCAATCAGAAGATCCCTGCAGAGTTTGATGCTCAGCTGTTCATTTGCTCGAAGCATTTTACCAAAGACAGCTTTAGAAATCTGGAACAGTTCAAAGCAGGATTTGCTAAACTTCTATGAGCGCTATGATCACTCCTCTGAAACAGTTTACACCTAAATTAACTTCAAATGTAGAAACCTGCCGGCAGAATATGTTGGCTTTTATTATCCTGCTGCCTGCAGTTTGTAGCACAGACCTGAAAAACGCTAACATCTACTTCCAGCCGCCACCAACAGGAGGGGAAAACCCTGGAGAGGCGAGCGGGCCTGAGGCAGCTGCTGCTGGGGATTCCCAGTGACAGCGCAGCGCCGGTATGTGGGGGTCTGAGCGGCTCCCACAGAGAAATAATCTTTGAAGGCAGGATGGTAATCTGGATGAACTGACTGCACAGACCATGTTTTCAGGAGGACTTTCTCACTTCAACATAGATTCTAACTAGTGTTGCACCGATACCAGTATCGGACTGGGCCCCGATACTGCCCTAAAATGGTGGCATCGGTATCGGCGAGTACCAACAAATAGGGCACAGATACCATTTTGAGAGCCATAAGTTTATTCAACTATCGTCACCCACTCCTGGTAGGCAATAAAAACTTTTTATTAAAAAGTTGTACCGGATTCACTTTGTATTAGATTTTTTCCTGCTTCACAAAGGTAGGCAGCAGCTTGACATGAAGCCATGATGGCAATTATTTTACATTATTATGGTATCGGTATCGGCCGATACTGCATAGCCAGGTATCGGGTATCGTTATCGGGGCCAAAAAATGGCATCGGCGCAACACTAATTCTAACTTCTTTTTACCCGCTGATCACAGCTAATATAGCCGCCATTGTTTCAGGCAGAGAAAGGATAGGGTAACTCCGCTCACCGCGCATCAGACCCACTTTAACACCGCGCAGCTAGAGCAGCAAAGATGATTCAGAACTAAACTGGTTTAAGCATCAATAATGAAGCAGCATGTTTCTGCTGCTCCAGCTGCTTTAGGTCTGAATGTGGCGTTAGAAATATAACAAAATAAATATGAAGTGAAACAACTTCTACTTCTGTCTTAGATGGTGAATTTACCAACAGCCAGAAAAACATGTAAAATGATCCACATTTTGAAGACGGGTCTATCAGGAGCGCCGGGCTCTGAGGCTCCAAAGCGAAGCGTGAATTAGTCAGAAATAATTCACACTGAGTGTAAAGAGCTTCATGAAAAACATTAGAGACGTTAATTTCTCTTTTTGACCATAACTTGTAGTTTAAAGCGGGCTGCTCCTCTGCGCTCTGCCTGCCTAATGCTGCCAACTCTTTAAGGTGGAGCTCTTTACTGGACTTTACTGGACAGATTTCACCCCAGCTGTCCTCATTTTACTGCTTTTTGATACTTTTTATCTAAATCAATTAAAAGAAACTAAAGTATTTTATTATTTTAATTCAAAATGTAAAACTAAAAAATCCATTCCACGTACAGTGTTGTTATTAAGGCATTTCTACCTTTTCATTTTAAAGATTTGTGTCTGGAAGCTTATGAGAGTCATCCTGAGCATCTTTAGCTTAAAGTTTGATCTTTTTTTCCTTGTTTTATGTTTATAAAATGTTGAGCTCTTTACCAGCCAGTGTTGAAGGCTTCTCCCGGTCCTTTTCCCTCTCATTTATCTGCCTTGTTTTCTGTGTTTGCAGCTGCAAACTGAAGCTGTACTCAGAGAAGCTGCCAAACACCAGCATCATCATCCCGTTTCATAATGAGGGCTGGTCGTCGCTGCTGAGGACGGTTCACAGCGTGCTCAACCGCTCTCCTCCAGAGCTCATCGCAGAAATCATCCTGGTCGACGACTTCAGCGACAAAGGTACCGAAATAAACCATTTCCACGCAGGTTCTCATTAGTGCAGCCGGCAGGATCTGCTGCTAATGGCTGTATTTTCTCTCAGATCGCTCCGTGTTCGCAGACAGCCGCTCATTCCACACGTTTGTTTACCGACTTTGTTGACTGTTGGTCCAATAATGAGCTGCTGAGAAATAAAGGCTGCAGCTTCCTCTGCAGGGCAAATGCATCTAAACATACTTTCATTCATATTTCATAAACATAACGGGAACAGAGCGCCATGCTGGGGGGGGGTCTGATGCTCAGCCCACAGGTTCATGTCAGACAATATTTACATCCATAAAGGACCAAATTCAGGAAGCCACGTCCTGCTGACCTGCAGCTTAGGGAAGCCGTGGTTCTGAGTCCCACTCCCACAGACTGCCTCTCTGGGCCCCTGAGCAAGACCCTGCTGCTGCTGCTGCTGCTGCCGCTGCTGCAGAGGTTAATGCACAATAATAATAATACAGTTTCTCTCACCACGGCAGCTTAATCGCTTTGAACTCTACAGTTAAGCTCCAGCTTTCAACCCTTGCATAATAAATCTCAGCAGAAGTGCAGCGTTATCAGAGTAGATGTGGAAGCAGATATTCATCATGAAGCCTGTTTCATTCTCCTCCTTCTATGAGCTCAGATATGAAATGATGTACGGAGGGATGGAGACGAGTTTTAAGACTTTCTTTCCCCTTCATTCCGTTTATGATGTAGTTTCTGTTCCATCATCCTGCTGTTGTATCTTTAACCTTCTCTGGCCCCAGATCTATAATAACAGACAGCTTGCTCGTCTAACCAGTGATAAAAGCCTTTTTAAAGTTTCATGTTTAATTAGTAACCACCTCCTGCATTATGTTAATATATCTTTGCTATGGAAACGTGTCAGAACATTAATACCATCATTAAAACATCTGTTCTGATCTGACGCTGAGGACATTGGGGGTTTATTTTAGTTTCTGCGCTTCCTTTGCTCGGCCATCGCTCCCTTTGGGGCATCGATTCTCTCAGAAAATCATAACATTATGAAATAAATCAACTTTGGATGAATGTTTCTTATTTTGACCTTAGAACCAAAGTTTCACAGCATTTCTGATGCGGCTCACCTCGTTTCTTTAAGCTGGTTTGCAGGCAGACATTCCTGGAATATGTTGGTCTCCTGCACAGCGATGGCTGATAAAGAAAGTTTCTATCATGTTACCTTTTGGGTCGTGCAACTAGAAACCGTCTTCCTCTGTTTTTATGGTTAGCATAAACTGAAAGCTAAGTTTGCTAAGTTGCTCTACTGTGCTGATTTACTCCTTAACAGCTTTTCTTCACAGGTATTATACTGTAGGTTTCCTGTGAGGAAAGGAAATGCATTTCTGCATCTTAACTTTATTGTAATGTCGCAGTGGGTTCAGAAATCATCAACTCTTCTAGTTTTTCTCCTATTTTGTTTCAAATTGCATAACTTCAGTGGAGATAGGTATCATCTTTTCCTTCACACCTGCTGAGATGTTTCCCTGCAGCTCAAGCAGCATGAAATGAATAAATCTAACAATAAAAACAACAAAATTCAATGTTTTATCAAGTGATTTTTTTTATCTGAGTGTTTTACATCTACATGTGCATCTCAAGGTAAGAACAGCTTTACCAATAAGAATAAAGCAGGATTCTAATATTAATCGATGCAACATTAGATGAATTAATTAGACCTCATTATAAAGTGGTGGGTGTGCAGAGCGAAGGCGGGTGTGCAGAGCGAAGGTGGGTGTGCAGAGCGAAGGTGCAGAGTGAAGGCGGGTGTGCAGAGCGAAGGCGGGTGTGCAGAGCGAAGGCGGGTGTGCAGAGCGAAGGCGGGTGTGCAGAGTGAAGGCGGGTGTGCAGAGTGAAGGTGCAGAGTGAAGGCGGGTGTGCAGAGTGAAGGCGGGTGTGCAGAGCGAAGGCGGGTGTGCAGAGCGAAGGCGGGTGTGCAGAGCGAAGGCGGGTGTGCAGAGCGAAGGCGGGTGTGCAGAGTGAAGGCGGGTGTGCAGAGCGAAGGCGGGTGTGCAGAGCTAAGGCGGGTGTGCAGAGCGAAGGCGGGTGTGCAGAGTGAAGGTGCAGAGTGAAGGCGAGTGTGCAGAGCGAAGGCGGGTGTGCAGAGCGAAGGTGCAGAGTGAAGGCGAGTGTGCAGAGCGAAGGTGGGTGTGCAGAGCGAAGGCGGGTGTGCAGAGCGAAGGCGGGTGTGCAGAGCGAAGGTGCAGAGTGAAGGCGAGTGTGCAGAGCGAAGGCGGGTGTGCAGAGTGAAGGCGGGTGTGCAGAGTGAAGGCGGGTGTGCAGAGTGAAGGTGGGTGTGCAGAGTGAAGGCGGGTGTGCAGAGTGAAGGTGGGTGTGCAGAGTGAAGGCGAGTGTGCAGAGCGAAGGTGCAGAGTGAAGGCGAGTGTGCAGAGCGAAGGCGGGTGTGCAGAGCGAAGGCGGGTGTGCAGAGCGAAGGTGGGTGTGCAGAGCGAAGGTGGGTGTGCAGAGCGAAGGCGGGTGTGCAGAGCGAAGGTGCAGAGTGAAGGCGGGTGTGCAGAGCGAAGGCGGGTGTGCAGAGCGAAGGTGGGTGTGCAGAGCGAAGGTGCAGAGTGAAGGCGGGTGTGCAGAGCGAAGGTGGGTGTGCAGAGCGAAGGCGGGTGTGCAGAGCGAAGGTGGGTGTGCAGAGCGAAGGGGGGTGTGCAGAGCGAAGGTGCAGAGTGAAGGCGGGTGTGCAGAGCGAAGGCGGGTGTGCAGAGCGAAGGTGCAGAGTGAAGGCGAGTGTGCAGAGCGAAGGTGGGTGTGCAGAGCGAAGGCGGGTGTGCAGAGCGAAGGCGGGTGTGCAGAGCGAAGGTGCAGAGTGAAGGCGAGTGTGCAGAGCGAAGGCGGGTGTGCAGAGTGAAGGCGGGTGTGCAGAGTGAAGGCGGGTGTGCAGAGTGAAGGTGGGTGTGCAGAGTGAAGGCGGGTGTGCAGAGTGAAGGTGGGTGTGCAGAGTGAAGGCGAGTGTGCAGAGCGAAGGTGCAGAGTGAAGGCGAGTGTGCAGAGCGAAGGCGGGTGTGCAGAGCGAAGGCGGGTGTGCAGAGCGAAGGTGGGTGTGCAGAGCGAAGGTGGGTGTGCAGAGCGAAGGCGGGTGTGCAGAGCGAAGGTGCAGAGTGAAGGCGGGTGTGCAGAGCGAAGGCGGGTGTGCAGAGCGAAGGTGGGTGTGCAGAGCGAAGGTGCAGAGTGAAGGCGGGTGTGCAGAGCGAAGGTGGGTGTGCAGAGCGAAGGCGGGTGTGCAGAGCGAAGGTGCAGAGTGAAGGCGAGTGTGCAGAGCGAAGGCGGGTGTGCAGAGCGAAGGCGGGTGTGCAGAGCGAAGGTGGGTGTGCAGAGCGAAGGCGGGTGTGCAGAGCGAAGGTGCAGAGTGAAGGCGGGTGTGCAGAGCGAAGGCGGGTGTGCAGAGCGAAGGTGGGTGTGCAGAGCGAAGGTGCAGAGTGAAGGCGGGTGTGCAGAGCGAAGGTGGGTGTGCAGAGCGAAGGTGCAGAGTGAAGGCGGGTGTGCAGAGCGAAGGTGGGTGTGCAGAGCGAAGGTGCAGAGTGAAGGCGGGTGTGCAGAGTGAAGGCGGGTGTGCAGAGCGAAGGCGGGTGTGCAGAGCGAAGGTGGGTGTGCAGAGCGAAGGTGGGTGTGCAGAGCGAAGGTGCAGAGTGTAGGCGGGTGTGCAGAGAGAAGGCGGGTGTGCAGAGCGAAGGTGCAGAGTGTAGGCGGGTGTGCAGAGCGAAGGTGGGTGTGCAGAGCGAAGGTGCAGAGTGAAGGCGGGTGTGCAGAGAGAAGGCGGGTGTGCAGAGAGAAGGCGGGTGTGCAGAGCGAAGGTGCAGAGTGAAGGCGGGTGTGCAGAGCGAAGGTGCAGAGTGAAGGCGGGTGTGCAGAGCGAAGGTGCAGAGTGAAGGCGGGTGTGCAGAGAGAAGGCGGGTGTGCAGAGAGAAGGCGGGTGTGCAGAGCGAAGGTGCAGAGTGAAGGCGGGTGTGCAGAGCGAAGGTGCAGAGTGAAGGCGGGTGTGCAGAGCGAAGGTGCAGAGTGAAGGCGGGTGTGCAGAGAGAAGGCGGGTGTGCAGAGCGAAGGTGCAGAGTGAAGGCGGGTGTGCAGAGTGAAGGCGGGTGTGCAGAGTGAAGGCGGGTGTGCAGAGTGAAGGTGGGTGTGCAGAGCGAAGGTGCAGAGTGTAGGCGGGTGTGCAGAGTGAAGGCGGGTGTGCAGAGTGAAGGCGGGTGTGCAGAGTGAAGGTGGGTGTGCAGAGCGAAGGTGCAGAGTGTAGGCGGGTGTGCAGAGTGAAGGTGGGTGTGCAGAGCGAAGGTGCAGAGTGAAGGCGGGTGTGCAGAGTGAAGGTGGGTGTGCAGAGCGAAGGTGCAGAGTGTAGGCGGGTGTGCAGAGAGAAGGCGGGTGTGCAGAGCGAAGGTGCAGAGTGTAGGCGGGTGTGCAGAGCGAAGGTGGGTGTGCAGAGCGAAGGTGCAGAGTGAAGGTGCAGAGTGAAGGTGCAGAGTGAAGGTGGGTGTGCAGAGTGAAGGTGGGTGTGCAGAGCGAAGGTGCAGAGTGTAGGCGGGTGTGCAGAGAGAAGGCGGGTGTGCAGAGCGAAGGTGCAGAGTGTAGGCGGGTGTGCAGAGTGTAGGCGGGTGTGCAGAGCGAAGGTGCAGAGTGAAGGTGCAGAGTGAAGGTGCAGAGTGAAGGTGGGTGTGCAGAGTGAAGGCGGGTGTGCAGAGTGAAGGTGGGTGTGCAGAGTGAAGGTGGGTGTGCAGAGTGAAGGCGGGTGTGCAGAGTGAAGGCGGGTGTGCAGAGTGAAGGTGGGTGTGCAGAGTGAAGGCGGGTGTGCAGAGTGAAGGTGGGTGTGCAGAGTGAAGGCGGGTGTGCAGAGTGAAGGCGGGTGTGCAGAGCGAAGGTGCAGAGTGAAGGCGGGTGTGCAGAGTGAAGGCGGGTGTGCAGAGCGAAGGTGCAGAGTGAAGGCGGGTGTGCAGAGTGAAGGCGGGTGTGCAGAGTGAAGGCGGGTGTTCAGAGTGAAGGCGGGTGTGCAGAGCGAAGGTGCAGAGTGAAGGCGGGTGTGCAGAGT